AGATTAGGTTTTTAAATGGATTAATTGCAATATTTTCTCTGCAATACATAAAATTAAAGAGCAAGTAAACTAACATCATGCATAAGTGTTGAGGCTACATTATGTATTGTACTATGCATTGAACAAATAGCATGAACCTGTCAAAATGCAACAAAATATACATCTATATTTTTGTTGTTCCAACCCAAATGAAAAACAATAATTAAGAAATGTCTCCAAATAACAGTACGGGATTCAGAAATAGGTTCACATGAGGAGATATTTTGTAACCTACCTGGAAAACGGGGGTTGCCAGTTGGGTAATACTGGCTCTCTTTGGCCTCCTATGAGTCCTTGATTCATCTTGCAGATCTGCCAAAGACAGCCAACCATGCTGCAGAATAAACTAATTCCATCTTTGTGTGAAAAATCTTAAGAGGATGTATTCATCTCAGCACATTAATGCATTTCAAACACTGGAAATGGCAGCAGAAGATGAGCGTGTGTGTGTGTATATTGTAAAAGGCCCTCGCAGTGCCTACTACCTCCCTGCACTGTGACAGATTCAGTGCAACGAAGGAGGCTGAGGTTGCTCCCCACCCCTTACGAAGTCACATGACATCACACTGCCTCCACTCAAACAGGATATAAGAAGGACTGCTGGAAGCTACCCCATCTCGGCTTCTGTTTTCAGCCATTTTTGCCCAAGATGATGTCACACTTCTGCTAAAGCTCAGAACCTTACCTGTTGTGTTTCCTGTTCCATTTTAGCATTCGACAGCCTTTCTTTAATGTTTAATCATATAGTTCAAAGGAAGAAACCCATTTGGGCTCTCACTTGACCCGTGACTCACCTGCAAGCAGCTGTTTCACATCATCTAATTTGTGACACAACGTAAGTCAAGTGCTTTCCACAGATTGTAATAATAAGTTCAGAAACCAACCCCGACTATTCCTCACTCACTTTATTACATGGCTCATCTGACTGGTGAATCAATAACTTGGAAGTCTTTCCTTCAGTTGAATAGAATTAAAAACAATTAGAAAATTGGTGCGCGTTCATGTTTGAGAAAAAAATCTGATGCATTAAATATTATAAACCTTAAACTATGAGGATGACACAGTTCAAACAAACCTCTAAAATCCCCAAAATATTGTTATTTATTCAGTTGGTTGAAGTTTGTGGACTTCTTACCATACCTTTTTTCTTACAGACATTCAATAAATCAGCAACTTAAAAAACAACTGTGGAACAAAAAAACTATCTATATTTAAGATTACATCTAGACATGTATAAAATAGTCTGAGTTGTATAGGTTGTTTTTCTACTCCTCTCTCCTAGCCAGCTGCACCTGGTGACACATAGTGTCATAAGAACAGTTCTTCTTTGGGTAGGTAAAAGGGAGGACCAAAGCCAGCGGCCTGCAAGGGAAGAAATAACAAATAGTTAGTGCAAAGGTTTTTGTTCTTCGCACTGTTGCTGTCTCAGTCTCATCTCTGGAAAATCTGTGCATCTCAACACAACATGAGCGCAATAGCGTTCCACACAGCCCATTATTGCCTCTAAATCCTCTGACTGGAGAGTGACAGAAAAGTGATGGAGACCAAAGACCTCATAATGGCAAAACTATCCATTTAAACTGATGCTTTGCTTGCTGAGAGGAAGCCCTTAAATGATTCTTTTAGCTTTCAATAAAAGCTGTCATTATGAACGTCATGTGACTTTAAAATAATGCAATGACTAGCAAATAGAAAAGACATTAGCATAATTACCAAATGATTGAAAGCAATTTTATCCAAACTTGATTTTTTTATTTTTTTTTTGCATGAAATGCCTCAAAGTAGCATTAAAAATGTGTTAAAACCCAATAATGTGGTCTTGTAATACTAATTTCAGTGCAGATAATAGCAACATACAAAGCTTGTAAAGACAATCTTGAACACAAGTAAATAAGGTAGTCTTTTTAATGTAAGATTTTAAAAATAAAAATTTGATTAACACAATGTGCAATATATTTAATTGTCCACTTCTTTTTATATGTGGATCATGGCTCATCATAAATGCACCCCACAGCGCCATCTGCTGTTTTCATGCTAAAGCACACAGTGAAACCGAAACAATGAGTTTAAACTTATGAGTATCATAATTATAATGAAATTGTGTCCAGAACAGAAATTTTTCAGACCCCTGCTGAGCAATATATATATATATATATTTTTAAAGTTCATGTTGATCAGAGTAAATGTATAATTGCTGCTTTGTGAAAGTAAAATGACGTAGCCTTTCAAGGTGATTTGATTTGCTCGACCGAGGCAGCTGGAATTAATAAAGTGGTTCTTAGTGTAGGTGATCAAGGACAGACAATCAGGCAGGAGCTGTTCGTGATCTTATGAGTTGATTAACAACCTTCTCAGTCTCTAGAGCTCCGACCGCAAAACTGCATGAATTCCTATTCTTGACTCATTTTCTTTTCGGTTAAATTCACAAAAAAATGGTGAAAGAAGTGGCAAAAATATGAAAATGGAAATCTGAAGCAGTGATTTCAAAAGAACTTCGCCTTTCAAGGTGATTTGATTTCCTTTTCCTCCTGTAGGGATCAATTGCAGATAGTTTACCCGGTGTCTTTTTTTCTGTTTTCTCGTTTGGTCTCTGGTAAAACAACTGAACAAATATTTCAGATGGCACTGTGCCGTGCATCCTACCTGTTGCTGCCCTTTGAACGGAGGTGACTCATCCTGTTTTGTTAAGGTCAACTCTGGACAAGCATGCAAATCGAACCATACGTACTCTTTTAGACCCCTGCAAGGATGTGTATAAGGTTGTGACCCAACAATAGCCAGAGGGAACCCTCAACCTTCCAAACAACAACAAAAAAAAAGTATTTACCTCTGCAGACTCCTGGTCTGTCCTCATGCGTTCTCTTTTTTATGCCCATCTGTAAGTCTGTACTGTCATAAATGGGATCAGTCAAGTATGAGAATTTGATATAGGCTTCATGTGTGGGTGCCTCGCTAAGTTTGAAAGCAGCTAAAATCGCATCGCTGAGCTTTCAAGAGAGGCGAATAATCATAAAAGACGTGACTCACATCTTTTGGAATGTGCTGCATTCTTGTATTCCTGTAACAGAGTTGGTGTTATGAACAGCATGGATCACCATTGTTCCTCCTTATGCGCTTGGAAAAATGGTGAGGTTTGGAAACCTGCTCCAATTCACTCACCAAGTTTAATACTAGAAGCGAGCGAGGGAAAAAATATGAAGCAGGAAGTGAGTCCTGCCAGTTGGTCACAATGTCAAAGGAAACTAAATGTGAAGCAATGAAGGGTTGCTTAAAGGTTTTTAGATCTTCTTGATCCACATTGAGATGTTGTACACACAGAAATTTTCTTCACATGTCTCCTATCCATACACACAAGTGACTTGTTTTCAGAAGTCAATGGGATGTTTGACATTTGAATTGTTATGAAATGGTTTAAAAAAAAAAAAGAATCTTGGCTTTACTCTGTGGGAAGTTATTTTACAACACCTCAAACATCCTTAAGGGGGATCAGTCAAAGCTACCAAACAAAAAGTTTCTGGCTTCCTAAAATTCTGTAGACGAATTAGATGTATTCGAATAATTACTTACTGCCTTCATTTAAAGACTGGAAATTAAGAGGTTTACTTTCAGCCGAAAAAAAAAGGAAAAAAAAAAAAGGCCTAAATTAATAAAATATGTCGTTGAGGTTTTACACATAAGGTTAATATTAAGAGACCTTGTCTCCCTAAAATGCACCACTTTACAATGCACTGCACACTTTTGGGAAGCAGTGTATACATTTTGCAAAAAGAAAATATATTACTCAGAAACAGAAATAGTTGGACACCTGCCTAAGTTCGCCAACGCTGGACAGCATGAGTGGAAGATTGCTCCTCAGCTTGACATGGAAGGAAAATTGATTGCTGCTATAACACTGCTATGGTTCAAACCTAGACAGAGTGGAAGCAATGATGAGAATGATAAACTGTCCTTTGTTTTTTTTATTGAATCATAAGACTTAATAGAGCCGGTTACAGCTCAGAGCACAAAACAGCCACAGCCCTGCTATTTCCTGTTAATGCACCTTCACTCTAACTTTCATTCCTTCCTTCTTAATGTTCTCTCTGAGGATGACGAGATGAAGCGTTCAGACCTTCAGGTATGTTTGCAGGCTGACAGTGGATTGGTACCACATATCTGAGCTAAAACCAGAACTGACTCTCAAGGAACAGAGCTGCAGCTCTCAAAATCTCAATTGCTCCGAACATATTGAAATTTAGCTTTTCATAACTGGAAGAGATGGTTGTTCACATCACCAATAATACAAATCCATTCCTTAACTATAACTGCTCATCTTGCACCAGCGGTCAGTGGGTGAGAAGGTACACACCTGGATACAGATGTGTACACTTAGGGACAATTTAGATCAACCTCGAGTCAAATCCTGAATTTGACCATTGTGCAGCAATAACAATGTTTTCAGCATTCATTTTGGTTAAATTTTTGTTAAGAGAAAAAAATATATAGCTAAAATTTTTCCATCAATATGTCATAAAGACTCCATCACAGTTACTAACTGAGCTTGATTTTCTTTCATGCTACTTGTGGTCGAGTTTCCAGAAGTAAAAACCATGACAAATAGTTTGGGTTTTTTCCATTATAACTTTCTATAAATAGGCTAATATTAATATATAACTCCTGAACAAAAACATCCCCTCTAAGGAGGGGAGGAGAAAAAAAACTATAGTTACCGAGCGCATTATAGACTATTAATAGGCACCAGAATCCAGAGGTTCGGTCCTCGTGTTCCGATGACGTTCACACCTGATACATGAATTAAAAAGGTGCAGATAAACATCTGCGATCTGTAATTGGCAACTATAAATTATCCCCCAACTGCACCACTTCTGCTAACCACCCGCTGACGCACAGCTGTTTCAGGAGGGGCATTTAACTTTCTTTCGTCAGCGCTTATTCCGATCAAAGGCACCGAAAGAGGAACTTCTGCAAGTCGGTGCAGCGGGACGTCTTGCTTTTTTGTTCACCGGTGCAACTAGCAGAAAAAATAGAACAAAAAAATAATAATAATAAAAGAGAAAAGCGATTATGGTGTCGATCGTTTAAAGTTAGACCGAGTTAAGTCAATGCAACGTAAGGATTAGTATACATCGCGTAGAGCTGACCCTTTCCTCCTATCATGTGTGCGGGGCGCCTTTGTTACTCGTGGTCCTGCAGAGCGCTCTGGCCGGTTTTCATCATCCTGGCGGCAGCGCCTTGTCTGCTGCGCTGCGCTGAGAGACCTGCTGCGTCAGTTGTTGGGAAAATGTATCCAAGGGGCAATCACTGGGCTGTAGGTAAGAAAACCTTCGTTTTTAATCAGAAATATTTATTTAATAATAATAATAATAATAATAATAATAATAATAATAATAATAATAATAATAATAATAAAAAGTTTCATCTTTGATCATATTTAATTTACTAAAACTTTCAAAATGCTTTGTTTTTTCTGTCATTGAACTTCTACATTAAAGTGAAACGCTCGCATGAAGAAAAACACATGTTGTGTCTGTCGGTGTTATGGGAAATTAAAAAGCTGATGTTGCTTCAAATTATCTTTTGCAATTTTCAAGTCATTGCAATTGGATGAAGAGTAACTAAATTCAAATAATAATAATAATAATAATAATAATAATAATAATAATAATAATAATAATAATAATAATAATAATAATGGTGATTTTCAACAGGTCATTTAATGGGAAAGAAGAGCATTACCAGTCTGCCTGCACGGCAGCAGGAACATCTCGACTACCTCACGCTTTCGCAGTCGGACGAGATCTTTGATCAGGACCAAACTGTGAAGGAAATGTCAGCAGAGAGCCAAGAGCAAACAGTGCTGCGGAAGCTGCTCCACAGCAACAGGAGAGAAGACAACAGAGGAAAGCATCTCCGAGAGGTCAGCTTGTAGAGGTCAAACAACGCTTGCAATCTCTGACCTTCAATATGCTTATGCGTTTCTTGCTTAATTATTGTTTTGTAGGTGTTAGACCTCCTGATTCTGACTTTGAAGCAGCGAGACAGCGAATCCTCCTGAAGGCAAGACAAGCCCAGTGGCAAACCCAGCTGCTGAGGTCTACTCAACCTGCTCTGTAATCACATATTTACAATGTATAAGCTCTGTGCTGTAGGCACACAAAAACGATGGTGTTTTTGGTGAATTAGCATTTTTACTTGCACAAAATAAAAGGTTTCAACTGCTGACTGACTGACAAGGTTGTGTTATAGAAACCAGGAATCTGAACTGAGTTACATGCTACGATGACAATAACTTTTACTCAAAAGAATTTAAGAAATGCATACTTCGGGGGGAAGAATTAACTTTAGTCTTTTGTTTGTTTTGATTTGCTCTGCTTTTCCCACAGAAGATTTATTACATCCAAAATGTCTGTTGGGAAGAATTTATTTCAGCATCACACTATTCCATCGTATTTCAACTATAAACGATAGATGAACAAAGAAAATCTTCAATATTCATAAGTCTGTGAAACCTGCACACCATGGTCCCACCACTTGCGCAGTAACCCATTTTTACCACTAGGTGGTGCGCAAGTTCATTTTATGAACATCTCGTGTTTCAGTAACTTTCCAGTTGCACAAAACGCCAATATCACTAATTAAAAGTGTAAAGAAGCAATAAGATGGTTGTGTTGTTGGGTGACGAGTCTTCAAATTAGAGGGGTGGGGGGGCACAAAAATCAACAAACAAACAAATAAATAAACACCAATTGTTTTTCTCTCGGAGGAGATGAATAGATGTCCATCAGTATTATTTTTCGCTCGCAGGGGATGCAAGCAGACAACAGGAAGCGCTAATTGCGACAGTTTGACAAAACAAATTGTCCTCTTAGAGCCACAAACACGTTTTTTTCCTCTTCCTCCTTCTCTTTAGTCATTTGTCACGGATGATTGGTGAACAACTGAGGAGTGAGCCACTTTCACCCCTATTAGGAGTCTAATCCCAGGAGAGAGACGGATACAGTTTGTTGGAGTTAATGGGGAGGAAAGAAGATGACCTGCGGACTGATTTTCTGAGTCATACGGGGGAAGTTCAGAGGTTTAAGCCACTTTGATTCAGACACCAGCGTGTATTTAAAATGTATAATTAAAATAGATTGTATAGATTTCCATATATTAAATTAGTAGGTAATTTAATAATAAAATTATAAACATAAACACTGGGGAACTTAAACTCACTCCCTTCAATAACTGTCTTTTTCTTAAAAAATCAAATAACAAGAAAATATATCCACCGCTAGAGGGCACTAGAATTAACATGTCCAATTTTCTGATCGGTGCTGTTTGTCATTCTTTGTAACTGTCCCCTTTCCATAACTTAGTCATTATCTATTTTCTTCTTTTTGCGCTTTTCTCTTGAGAAGGTCCTAATATAAAACTTTTTTTATTATTATTTTTAGGAATCACATAAGAATTAATTCTCTAAAAGCTCTAAAATTGGTAAATAATTCTTGCATTTGGAAACTGTTTTTTTTATTATTATAATTTAATTATTGAGTTGGACAAAAAAAATAAATTCCATTTGTTCAAACAATCAAAAAGACTGTGAATGATCAGCAACATAAAGTGTGGTTGTGTTGCCATCAAAATAATGAAAGGATACAAATGGGTTTCCATTACAAGTTTGTTTTACTGATAACAAAACTCTTTGCCATAATGAGAAAAGATTAAAATAAAACAGAAAATCACAATGAATCAATTTTCCAACATAAAAAAATTATATAGAGCGTACGTCCAAATAACTGTATTTATAGTTTAAAGTTACTGAACTTTTAAATTTTTTCTTTACAATGTTTCAGGAACTGAGGAACTGATGTCCTGCCTGTCAGGATTTGACAGTTTTTTTTTTGTTTTGTTTTTTTTCTTGGGATTGGGACGTCCAGAATCTTACAATCCGATCTGCAGAAAGATAAAATCTTTTCAAATCACTGTCTTCTGGATGTGCATGTCCATCTTAACCTTCGTTTGGCATCACCACGTCTTCCCAATAGACTGAATGTGCTCCTTGGCTTTCATCCTCAGTGAGGCTATACTGGAGTTCCTTGGGTTGGCTGAGCACTGGTATGTGGGTGGCAGGGAGCACATAGAACTGATGTGGGAAAGGTGAGGACCGTGTCCCAGGCCTGGGGAGCTGAATATAGATGCTGGCAAGGAAGGAGGCATGGATGGGGGAGGAGAGGGAGCGTAGGCCCCTGGCAGGGTCTGTGAGCCGCTGATGAAGCCCGGCAGCGACTGCAGAGGGGCCGAAGATGTGATAGGGGTGGAGAGCCAGGGCTCCAGCGGCAGCCCGGAGCCCAGGGAGCCGGTGGTGGGTCGACCAAAAGACAGAAGAGACGGTGAAGGGGTGTCCTGCAGCTTGATGGCGCTCACCTCCAGCTTCTCCTGACGACGCCACTTGGCTCGTCGGTTTTGAAACCACACCTAGAAAGAGGTGAGGATGGTAAAAAAAACAACAAAAACAACTTTGTAACAACAAAGTAAAATGTATCTTTAACATTTATTTCACAGCCCTTGTATGTCAGAAAATAAAATATACAGACATATTATAATTGCTTAGTTAACAGATTTAAAAACTCTAATTGTATTGCTTTATTATTATTATTAGAAGCAATACTTCTGTCGTCCTACAATAGAAGTTCCTAAAAGAAACTTTGCACAGTCCATTGTGAACAGTTAGAAAGTTATTTCTTTGCATATTTACTTGTATTTATTTCTCTAGTTTTAGAATTTACAACACACAAAATCGGGGCAACATGCCACTTCAGGCGAATCATTTTCGTGTTTTATATATGAAGGGAAGCTCTGGACTTTACAGACTCAAAACTAGAATGAGTTCAGAACATCCATCATTTTTAATCTCAGCTTAAACCCCATTAGGCACATAATACTTGGGGCAGGGAGACTTTTATTGGGGGTATTTATTCTATTAATGAGATATATTTTACTTTTACTCCCTTGCAAAAATTGTATCTCCCTGCTTTTGGATTTTTAAATAGATTTTAAAATGTGTCTTATAAAGAAAATATTTGTGCAAGACTGGTTTAAGGTGGAAAAATAAACTTTAAGCAGCCTGCAGCTTTTGATGTGACTTTTTCTATGTTCGTGTATTTAACATCAGAAAAATATTCATAGGTAAATTATTATTATTATTATTATTATTATTATTATTATTATTATTATTATTATTATTATTATTATTAATGAAGCGACTTGTCTATGACAGGAAAAAAGCTCGTGATATTATTTTGGAGGCCGTGTCGCACCTGCACGCGGACCTCCGGCAGGTTGACCTTTAGGGCCAGCTCCTCTCTGCTGTACACGTCCGGGTAATGGGACTTCTCGAAGGCCCGCTCCAGTTCGTGGAGCTGGAAGGTGGTGAAGGTGGTTCGGTTCCGGCGGTGCTTCTTTTTCTGGTTCTCGTCGTCGGACAGCTTCCCGTCTCTGTCCGGCGAGTCGGGACCTGCGGAAGCTTCCGCGGTGCACACACCTGCTCCGGAGGGGAAGGAGGCGTTCAGTGACTCAAAGGAAAAAAAAGCGAAATTACTGTTTTCCTTTGAAAAGTTTTAAGGACAAACCAATACTTTTTTTTTCCTTTTTGAGTTATTGCTTTTTTTGTTTTGTTTGTTTGCTAAAACTTTCTTTAGCTTTTTATGAAGCAACACCTCTACATTATTTGACCCCGCTTGTGACTTTACCGAGGAAACAAAAGTGGTGTTTTTTAAGTTTTTTTTTTAAAAAAGTATTACTTAAAGAAAGTAATAATCCAATATATCCTTCAAATATTATTGTCAGAAATGAAGCAAAAAGACACAAAAATTAAATCTACTCACTGTCACAACTGTCAGTGTAATGACTTTTCTTCCTCTGGGTCACAGGAACGTTCCCGCCGCGCTCCGGGTCTCTCTGTGTCCCGGTGTAAGAGGCTGGCTGGTGGAAGATGGTGTCGTCCTTGAAGCCCAGGATGGCCTCGATGCTGTGGACGGTGGACGGGTTGGTTCCGGGCTCTGCATGGAACGTGCGGAGGGAGAGACGCGCTCGTCCACCATCGTCATCATTTGGGATGTAGATCCGAGCAGCCACATTGGTCGCTTCAAGGCCGTAAGAAATGTCAGGATTCACAGATTCCTACTTTTTTTTTTTTGTTTGTTGTTTCTACCAAAACTTTTCCCTCTTCTCAAGTCTTATTTTGGAAAAATAGTTCTCTCTGTTGTTCTGGAGCATCTTTGCTGATGGTTTTTAAAGTGGTGCTTGTGCGGGACATCCCCTCCCACGTCACGTCACAGAGGGGACGTCCTGCTGGATTTTAGGGGTAACATGCAGCCACCAGCCTTCACCCAGCAGAACTCCACCCCGTCCCCATCACATCCCAAGAGCATCAGCATGCCTCTAAACCTACTTACATAAATCTTAAAACCATCTTTCCTCTTCTCCAGATGTCATGTTCATGTCAGCACGTGGAGGGAAAGATTAAGCCCACAGATTAAGGTACAACAAAATCATAATTACGATAAGATCTCTGGTGAGATCACGGATTGCAAGATGACAGCTTAATATTTAATCACATCTTCAAGATATTGTCACCAAAAAAATGAGTTTGTCCAATGAATTGGTTTGCTGATCAGAGAAATAACTAGTTTTCTCACATTCGGATCTCAAACTGTCGTAAGCTAATTGAAAAAATAAATAAATAAATAAATAATAATAAATAAAAATAAATAAATAAATAAATAAATAAATAATGAAATAAAATAATTAACAGTTTATCTAACAAAAGATTGAAAAAAAATTGACTAATTTTCAATAGTGTGACTAATGTGCAAACAACAATTTGAGCTTATAGCCACTTAACAAACAAACATTGACAGCAATGTGGTAATCCTTCTTAAGGGGATTAGTTATTTTACTCAAAAGAGTTAAAACCCCTGAAACTATTTTGTTGTTCCTAATTAAAGACGTTGACCTGTGTTGGCCCAACAGAGAGGGGGTCCATGAAGAATAGCAGGATACTAAATAATGTCTTAACTTAGACCACAGAGCGTAAGGTAGTAGGTCTATAACTAAGTCAGTTCATGAAGCAAAAAAAAAAAAAAAAAAGAAAAAGCTCTTATTTTATTAATGTCTGCCTAGTGACTCGCATACAGCACAATAGTAAATCCATTTCAAAACACGTTTACCATCTTATTGGAGAATTTAAACTGAAAAGCAAAGCTGGGCTGCTGCTAATTTCAAAAAGAGGCTTCAAAAACCACAAAGCTGAAAATAATAAACTGTGTGAAATTATTTATTTCCAGTCTGGAGAAATCAATGCAAAAACTAAAAAATAAATAATAAAATGGACTGAAATAAAATAAACAATTCATGATTCAATCAGGACAAAGAGTTTTTGTTGGGCTTACAAAGTCAAATTATTGATGAGTCTGACAATAACGTGGACAAATGAACAATTTTAAGTTTGGATTTTGCTTTATTAACGCATGTCTGCAAGTATGAGAGATAATACTCTCATGGAGACTCCTTAGATTATTACATAGATAAAGTTGATGAAAGAATACAGGCTTGAGAGACCCATCATTAACGCTCTAAGATTTGTTTGATAAAAACTCAACTAGCCGCAAACTGAATCCTGGTTGACGTGGCGCCTGTTCACAAGATTAGCAGCTAGAATATGGGGGGAACTCAGGTAAAAATTGAGTGAAAGTCAATGAAAACAGGAAAATGAAGTGATATAAAACTAGATGAAGTAACGAGTTTACACAGCCCCAACTTGCTTTATAAATGAACTGTAAAGGGTCTGGGCTGCTCTGAGTTGCTCTAAAGATCTCCGGTTTTGCAATGTTCTCAAAAACTTCAGAATGAGATGTAGGATGAAAAGCATTTATTATCTTTGGATCACAGGTGCAATCACTGGATCTTTCCAGAACCTGGGCACTCAGGGAAGTATGAGAGACTTTGTGAAGATAAAAGACCGGATGCCAGCCAGCTGCTTTGCAAACTTCTTCAAAAGTCTGTTGTCCAAAATGAGGACCCATTTTTTGATAATAAGTTTTATGAGGATTTTTTTTCAAGCTTTATTAGCATTTTGATAATTACTGTCATCAACATCAGTATGTTGATGATGATTTTTTGTTGTGAAGAGTTTTGGTCTCGTCTTGCCATTTTATCTGATTGTTTACAACATTTGGAAAAATCTTTAAATAATTATTTTAGACTTGAACTTTTCTGACTCTGATAGTCAATGAAGACACATCAGTAATTCAAGAATGATGTAAATCATTCGACTGCCTCGCAGTCTGCAACATTTTGTCCATTATAATTTTTACGGTGTCCTTAAATTGCTTTCAACATCGCATCGCTACATTGTGCAGAAACAAAGAAAGAAAGAAAGAAAGAAAAAAAAACATCACTGGGAAAAAGATGGACTCAGTGAGGGAAAGATGGATCAGGCCAACAACCTTGGGAGCGCTGATCCTATTAGATGTAATCTCAAGTCTTTACAAATCCACAGCCGTTAAAACTTGGCTTCTTGTAAAACTCGGAACGACGCAGTTTCCCATTAACCAGCCCCCCTGAGCCTCGCCCGGATCCTCCTCAGCCTAATCTTTCCTAACTGTTTAGATAATGCCCAATTAAATTAATACCTATTTATTTTTCACTCTGTTATCCCGATTTGTGTAAATGAGATTAATTGCAGCTGCCCAAGGTTACATGTTTTCTGGCTGTGTGACTGAAGTTGGCGGGTAATCGTCATGAAAAACTGTTAAGGATTTAAATTCAAAGAATGGAAAATATACCTCATCAGTGAATGTAAGTGTCCACACTTTTCCCATAATTAATTGGACTTATTGGGTTTTAATGGCAAGAACAATTAAATAAATTAAGTAGTTAACACTGTTTTCCCAGGCATGCAAGATGCTAACTCCTCTCTAGTGCATTTGGTTTTCTGTTACAATCCCATATTCAAACTGGGCTAATAATTAAAAGTGAAAGGAAAATACAATTATTATTACTATTATTAAGTCCACTACTGACTCATTGCTTGTGTTTAATATGCATTTTATTTGAACAACAAATTGGTCTCTCACAATCACGTACATTCAAGCGTTTCAAAAACAAACATCTGCCACCTTTATGATTTATGTATTTATACAATAAGTTTGTGCAAATTTGCAAATGTTTCTGCAAAGACTTAATCCAGCTGAAATTATTGCAGCGGCTGAAAATCACATGTTTTCGTGCAACACCAAAGGTGGTGACTAAATAGAGCAAACATTTATACAGCAGAAACAAAAATAAAAGAAAAAAAAAAAGAATGAAACTTAGAGGAAAGTTGCATAACTCAGGAAGGATTGGTTTCTACCAGCACATCTTGGATTACCTGGACTTCTTTTAATAAAAAAACACACACTCACACACACACACATGCACACGCACGCATTCATAGAGACTAACCTGTCTCATTTCATGACGACACTGAACAGTAAGAGTGGAAGGATTGGGCACCATTGATACATTATAATGAACTGCAAATTTTTGTGCAAAAAAAAAAAAAGAAGAAAAAAACTCTGAAAGGAAAACTTTATAGCAGATTTTCTGATGGTTTTAATATAATTTCTTGTTATAATTTGAATCAAATAATGTGACATTACATGAGAGAGGGCTTATTCTCAACAAATGTATAGATCCTCAGACTCACAACTTGGTTTATTCCAAGCAATATGTTAAATTTTTATCTTGACAATCCCTGCCTTTCCACCATTTGCTTTTGCCACCCTGGGTTGTTCACATGACAGAGCACTTCTCCTCTGCTTTGCTCTTCAGCTCGGTCACCGTGGCCGAGGCCTTCCTTCAGCTGGTCCATGTCCATGTTCTGCAGGTTTTGAAACTGGCCCATCAGGGAGTCCTTGCCCTCCTCCTCCGTGGCGTCCTCGTCCACCATCTTGAGCAGCTCCTCGGGCACGTCCACATCGTCCCCGGCCATCTCTATCATGTTCTCGTCCTGCTCGCTCTGCAGATGTCAACGTTAGGTAGGAGAATGTGGTCAGGGACCAATGAGCTGAGATTCAGACGTCGAGATACAGAGAAATTCATTTTTTTTTTCTTTCTAGCTTGACATTGGTTGAACTTCACTTGGCACTTTCTCCTTACTTATCCATTCTTTTGTTTGACTCATTGCATGTTTGTTAGTATCATTACAATTATTCAGATTTTTTTCAATCAAAAGTGTTAAGTTTTAGGTTTTGTTTTATACATGTGTGTATGAGTAAACATAATTTATATTTTTATATTTTTCTGTACTGTCCATTGCATTTCCTTATTGCAAATACAACTGTATCTGTAATAAGGAAATACAATTGTATTTTCATCAGTCCTAACAACATCAGGACTGATGAATAATGATTCAGGATTCAATCTAATAATGATTGGTATATTGTTTGATTCGTTTGATATTTGACTGATTTTAGCAGAATTTTGTCTTTGTCCTGTAAACAACTTGGGTTACATTTACAAATTGCTGCATAATTATGAACTTATTGGAAAAATAAACATTTGTGTTTGGCTTTTTAGGTAAAAACTAAAGAATTTAAAAACTGTTGTACGGTAAAATCAAATATTGTACATTGAATGGATAATTTGGAAGCAAGCAATAATAAAAACAACCTAATGTGAATATCTGAGGATATTTTGTGTTTTCCTCGGGTTTCTGACTTTTAAGTTTTCTCATCCTTATTATTAAATCATAAGCCTCATAGGCAATGTGAATAGGCTCTGCCCTGTGATTACTTTAAAGTTCAATCTGTGGGATTATCTCAGACCTGATTTAGCCTTCTTCCCAGGTACAGTCTAAAGATAATCTCTGTAATGTGTGACTGTCTGCTTCCAACTTCCTGTTTCTCTTTAGAAACTACACTTAAGTTTGAACATATTTTATGAATATTTACACAAATCTTATTAACTCAAACAGCAAACTCAAGTTTTTTTTTGAAAAAAAAAGAACAAATAAGAAACAACAAGAAAACAGCTAATGTTCACTTAATACTTTTCTGGCCTTCCATGTGATATAAACAAAATGTAATGAGAACAAAAGCATGCTATTGTTCAAATGTTATTATTTGTTTGCTTTCAAGTCATTGATGTTTAGCTAATGTCTTTAAAAATGAAGCAATTAAATAAAATTCACCAAGTGGCTGAAAAAGGAAACCAGACATTGATGTGCCATTAGCTGAAGGCTGTTAGAGCAGCTGAAGTCACTTGCAGATTCACTGTCATCACAACACTGGTTCTGAAGCAACTTCTCAGTCATTTACTGAGAAAAACTTCTGGAATGAACAGTTTCAATGACGTCTACATACCTTTTTGGCTCCCTCCATCACAGTTTGTCTTGTCTGTCAAGGCTCCTCTGAAATCCACCAATTGCCCAGTTTAGATCCACTAAAGTAATGTTGCAGTTTGCTGGAGCCAGATCCCTGTGCCGGGGTTCGCCCTAATAGGCTTGGAACACCTGCTCTGTGGCTTTTGGCTTTCTGAGACTAAAGGTGCAACAAGCCTTTCTTAGTAATCCTCCTGAACAGACTGCAGCAGCCAAGTGCGGCTGTCACACAGAGATGACCTCAGCTAAAACTCGACCAAAGAAAGCTGAATTAGTCGATATTGTTCTTTCTTTCTTTTTTTTTTTGCATTTTGTTTAAAAAGGCAGATGCAGCCTCCTCCTGTTTTGTTGTGAAATTGCAATGTTCACAGTAATTAGAAGCTGTTTGTAGTTTTTATAATATTGCTGATTGATTTTTCCTGCTGTGACTTCTTTGCTTTTCACTTTTATACTAACCTGCTGTTTCTTCCATTTGAATAATAATGACTGATAGTGCGTAAGGTATTTTTTCAAGGTTAGTATTACACCTGATGTTTTGTCTTGTTGGCCATGTGGTTAAATTGCATCTTAAAGGATATAAATATTCTCTTTAGGTTTGATAAGGGTGTGAAAATGTACACCGTAGTTCTGAAACCACTCATGAGGGTACTTGGGCTAACTAAAATACTCAGGATACATTTTTCACCAGCAGCATTATTTTCCAAATGAAAAATCGGTACTGAAAACGTCTGATAAAAAAAGTGTAGTGACAATGCGTGGTTTGTTCTGCTTATCTCCAAAGTTTGACTTGGATCTGGGAGCGACATGAAACCGAGCTTACCTAGTTTTAGTTGTCAGTTTTTAAAATTATTGGAGTCCCCATTTGTAATGATCAGTGACCAGGTTTGTGTCTGTTAGCAGTACAGTAATGATGTATTCCTTTGTATTTGCAATTTACAACATTTTAGCAACATGTTCATGAAATGAAGTTGCAAGTGTGAGATATTATTTTCGCCGAAAGTCATAAAAACACCAAACACTGTGTTGATGCAATTATGACTGTAAATGTATGAAAGCCATTTGGGTTTTTGGACTTGTTTCACATTTGAAATTTTGAATATTTTTACCATCCTGTGAATATTTCAAACAAGAAATTAAAAAAAAAAAAAAAAAAACATGACTTCTAAATTAAAATGGATCAAACAGAGTCCTTCAATTAATGATGCTATTCCCAATGAATACCAACGCCTTCCTTTAAATAAGTGGGAAAATACCAAAATTAAATCATGAAAATTTACCATTCAATCACTATGGAATTATGGTAAGTTTCCTGCATCAAGACAACTAAATTATTCAACGTGTAAAGATAAAAACATGTGTTTACCTTTGGCAGTCTGTATTTGTCCCTGAGACACACTCTCAGCGTTGCCCGCTCTGCCTTTTTGTGTAAGAAATCTGCATCCCTTTCCATCCTGAACAAATAAAGAAAAAAGAAAACAATCTCCAGTCTGTTTACTCTTGGTCACAAAAACACGTTACAGATTAGTTAATGTATCCCGAACGTCGACAAGTTTTTTTCATTGACTTGCATAAAAGTTTGTGATTAACCTGTTAAACATATGGAGGAAATGTTAGTGCTGGAAATTTATGAAAACCTTAAAGATTCAAAGGCCAGAGAGAGAATATGAAGTATCTCAGCAGCATTGCTTAGATACTTCATATTCTTCACCTTATTTCTTGGTTTCCTATAAAGAAAAAAAAATATAGGGAGGGTTTCTATGAACTTTTTAATTTTAGTTATGGTGAAGTGAAATAATTGCACATCTCCAGAACAAAATCAAACATGTAAATAATTGTCTTGCTGTTGTGGACTTGTTTTGATTATTTTTGATTCAGATTTATTAAATTTTTTTTAATCATTCAATTTCCTTCAGTAAAACAAATGTTTGATTCAAGTATCTGAAACCCTGAATATATTCCTGCATATTCAACAAAGCTCCTAGTGCACTTTGCCTCAGACATTTAAAGAGATTACCCATCCAGGCTTACCTAGAATTTAGTCAAAACATCCAAACAGGAGTGGTTTTCAAACATCTCATCTTTCCAAGTCAGATGTAATTTAAAACCATTTTTACTCTGACTGTTTTAAAAGATAGTTCTCATTCATATTTTACTTTAAATGTTTATGATTTTTGTGTGTGTATGTGTGTGTGTGTGTGTGTGTGGTGTGTGGGTGGTGTGTGTGTGGTGTGTGTGTGTGTGCGTGTGTGTGTGTGTGTGTGTGTGTGTGTGGTGTGTGTGTGCGTGTGTGTGTGTGGGTGTGTGGTGTGCACGTGTGTGTGTGTGTGAATGCCAGAATTTAATATTATCTTTCAAGAACCAATAGACCCACAAACAAAATATATATAAAAAAAAAAGTATTGGTCAGTTTCTTTTGTGACCTTCAGAAATAAATGCCTCTTTCAAAAACTCATCTTTTCAATTGTTCAAAAACATAAAAGCTATTTTATTATGCTTTTTTTTTTTTTTGTGTGTGTGTGTGTTACTAAAAGATGTGGACTTTGACAGTAAGGGAAAGGCATAGACACTGAATATAACACAATATAGAAGGTAATACGTCAAGGTCAGATTTTATTCTCTGCAGCCATTTTGTTCTCCACAGGCCAGTGGCAACTGCTCAAAGTGTAGCTTGCTCCATACTTACTTCTCCTCTACCAACTGTTTTTGGTACTCTTCATACTCCTCGCGCGTCATCCCAGCTGCTTTTGCAGGATCTGACGGAGTGGCCTCCTCCTCTTTGTCGCCTCCACCACCAAGACCTATTCCTGACAGGGGTTCCCAATCATGCTCTTGATCAAAAAAGCCATCACGAGTTCTTCCGAGTGTTTACTCTCCAAGGAGGGGGATGTTTTCGTGGACTGAAAAAGTGAACGGTTCTCCTGGTGCTTCGCTTTCGCTTCCTGTAGCTTTCCAATCCAGTGGTAGCTCCCTGGCTAACCTCCTGCTTGCCTACAGAGTCAAGGACACACTGA